CCCTGGTTCGCATCCCCGCTCGGCGGGACAGGAGGGCCTCTGGCGGGTGAGAGGAGGCCCCTCCTAGCTGAGCAAGAGGCCCGGCACAGGGCCTCTTGCTTTTTTAATTAAAGAGGCAATGCTGCGCTACAGTAAAACCCCCCTCTCACTCTTGTCCACCCTGGTCAGGATACACGCCCAGGTTGTGGCAGACCCCAGGGCACTCCCCTGCTCTTTTGAGGGGTGTGAACTGGGGGCCGCCACCTCCTGGGGAGAGTCGCTGGCGAGCGATCCCTGTCCGAATCCCCTCTCCGTCCCAAGAAGACAACGGCCTCTTGAGAAAGAGAGGGGCTTCGGACAAGGATGGCCCACCCAAAGGACGGTCGCCTAGGAGGCAGGAAATCCCTGTGCAAATCCCTGCTGAACGGGCAGCTGGGGGATTTGAACCAGGATCTCCCACAACCCAGGCGAGTATCCTAACCACTGGACTAGAGAGTGAGGGTGGCCGTGAGGCCGGCCCACAGCCCACTTAACTAAAGTGGAACAGCTTCAACGAGCAAGAAGGAAGCAGGCAACCCCCTCGCTAATAGAGAAAGGTCTAGGGACACACACACACACCCCCCCCCAGGGGAGATTCGAACCCGCATCTCACGCACCCCAGGCACCCAGTGTGACCATCAGCCTACGGAGGGTGTTGCGGCAAAGAGAGTCCCAAATACCGCTTAATTCAAGTGGAAGAGCTTTGAAAGGCAAGAAGGGAGGCACCCCCAGAAAGATGGCCGCCCAGGCACCAGAGGAGATTTGAACTCACCTCTCGCCCACCCAAGGCGCACAGTCTAGCCATCAGCCTACAGAGGGAACGGGGTGTGCCTGAGGCCCAAATACCATTTAATTAAAATGGAACAGCTTCCACAGGCAAGAGAGAAGTTGCCCCCCTCTGGCGATACCCCAAACCTACCAGGCCTGTGGTAGGCGCTCATCTCCAGCCCTTTTTAGCATCAGCAGACCTGGGGAATTGAACCCACAGCCCCCACATGCCACACATGAGGCCCAACCGCTGGACCACGGGAGGAGTGGTGCCGGGCGCTTTGCCTGAAGAATAATAGTTAATTAACGTGGAACACCTTCTACGAGCCAAAAAAGCGAGGGACGCCACGGATTCAATCCAGGACCACATCTTCTCAAGGGTTTTCGCAACAGACAAAGGGAGGATTGGACCCCCACAGCGGCCACAAGCCAGACCAGTAGCGTAACCACTGGACTACATAGGAAGCTGCTGAATTGGTTGGCCCAAATAATATTTCATTAAAGTTGAACAGCTTCACGGGCAAGAGGAAGGGATCACGAGACCCCCCCACCACTGGAGCTACGGAACCGCAGAACACAGACAGCCTGTAGGGCAGCGCTCGTCAAAGCCCCCCACAACCTTCCCAGCAGAGAGAAGGGGGATTTGAACAAGCCAGCCTCTTAGCCCCTCTCTGAAGCCTAACCACGGAATCAGAGAGGGAGCCACAGCCTGTAACTGGGCTCAGGGCCCTTCAATTAAAGTGTAAGAGCTTCAAGTGAGGGTGCTCCCGTCACTCTAGCCCAGCACCCAATGATTAGGGCCCTCACCCGGGCGGTAGGTGAGCCCTTCGCAAATCCCTTGTGCTCGTCCGGCAGAGGGGCGAGTTAGAAGGTGAATGGCCATAATGCATCAGACCCATGGCCCAGCTAGCCCACTGTCCTGCTTTCCGACGGCGGCCAACGCCGGCTGCTTCAAAGGCAGTGAACAGAAGAGGGCAAGTCTCAAGCGATCCGTCCCGTCGGGCCCCCCTGCCGGCAGCTGGCCGTCAGCGGGCGAAGGACGCCCGGACCACGGGGCTGCGTCCCTGTCCGTCTTGGCTAATAGCCACGGATGGACCCATTCGCCACAAACTTTCTCAGTCTTTCTTTTCGAATCCACTTACAGTTTTGGCCCACCCCACCTCCACCGGCAACCACTTCCAGAGGCTGAGCGTGCGTTGCGGGGCCAAGTACTGCCTTTGGTTTGGGTTAAAGCTGCTGCCTGCTCATTTCAGCGGGTGACCCCTGTTCTTGCGTTGCGTGAAGGGGTAAATAACACGTCCCGATTCCCGTTCCCCACCCCAGTCATGACTGGCTAGCCCTCTGTCAGATCCAACCTGAACCGTCTCTTTGCCCAGCTGAACCAGACGCACGCTCCCCCCCACCAACCTCCCTCACCGGCGAGGCCCCGAACCACGAGGTTAAAAGTTACACGAGGGGGCCTCTGCCTCCGATCCCTGGGCTGTTTTGTGGGGCGTTGGGCCGGTCCCTAACCAGCTCACGCTAAGTCACCTGAGGGGTTCCTGGCCGTGGCTGGCAAGCAGAGGGCTGTACCTGGGAGGGGGAAGACGCTGGGTCGGTTTCCTTCTCCCCGCCTGATGAGCTGCAGGGAGTTGAAGAGGGCTCTGCAGTCTCTCAAGCGTGAGCCCCAATACTGAAGTAAAGAACCGCCTGAGGAGGTTTGCTCGTTGTAGCTTGTCGGGCCTGTGCCACTTCCATGAAGTGGTAACTGGCCAGCCTTGCGACATGAATCCCTCTGTAGTCCAGTGGTTTGGGCACTTACCCAGTGTGTGGGTGATGCTGGTTCAACTCCTCCCCCAGCTTGCTGAGGAAGGACTTAAACAAACAGCCATCTCCCTGGTCTCAAGTGAGTATCCAGCTTCTGGACTAAGAGGGATTCTCCTGGGGCACGTGGGCCCCTGTGCCTTTCTTTTTCTGCTGAAGCTGTTCCACTTTTACATGACATATTCATGGGGCCAGCAGTCCACCCAGCAGCCCGCTGTAGTCTGGGGGGTGTGGTGTGCGCCCAGCGTGTGGGAGGCCGCGGGTTCAAAGCCCCTTTCTTCTTGCTGAGAAGGGATTTGGACTTTGATCTCCTGCCTCTCAGGCAAATTGCCTAGGTGCTGGGCTCGGAGGTTTTCCCATGTGGGGGCTCTCTCGGTCTTTTCTGTTGTGGGAGGGCCGCGTTCCGTTACATATTCATTGGGGCAAAGGCCACGCAGGCAGGCCTGGGTAGTCTAGTGGCTTGGCAAGCTGCCCAGCATGTGGGAGCTTGGGGTTCAAATCCCCTTCTTTCTTTCTTTCTTCTTTCTTCTTCTTGAAGAGAAGGGGCTTGAGCCTTGATGACTTATCTCTCAACTGAAAGGCCGAAGTGCCTGGTGAGTGGGATGTGGGGGATCCCTCAGTCTCTTCTATTGAAGGCAGGCCACTTGCAGTAAATATTACATGAGAATTGGGAACCCCACCCTCCAGGATTCCCCGTGTAGTCCTGCGGTTGGGCTCCGTGCCCCCGAAGCAGTGAGCCGCTGGTTCAAATCCCTTTTCCGTTTGTTGAGATCAAGGCTTGGGTCCTTAACCTCTTGCCCCGCGAGCGTTCCGCTTTCACTATGTATTAACCGGGGCAAAGGAAGCTTTCCAAGCCCTCTGTGGTATGGGGGTTAAGGTGTTCGCCTGCCGTGTGCGTGCTCCCGGTTCAACTCCCCTGGGTGCCGTTTGAGACGGCCGGGGGCGCCTCAATCTCTTACCGCTCCAGCCTTCCACTTTAACTATATATTAACCGGGGCAAGCTAAGCTCTCAAGTCCCTCTACGGTACGGGGGTTAGGGCGCTCGCTTGGATTGCGGGCGACCCTGGTTCAACTCCCCTGGGTGTCGATTGAGACGGCACGGGGAGCTTCAATTTCTTACCGCTCCAGCCTTCCACTTTAACTATATATTAACCGAGGCAAGCTAAGCTTTCAAGTCCCTCTACGGTACGGGGGTTAGGGCGCTCGCTTGGATTGCGGGCGACCCTGGTTCAACTCCCCTGGGTGTCGATTGAGACGGCACGGGGAGCTTCAATTTCTTACCGCTCCAGCCTTCCACTTTAACTATATATTAACCGAGGCAAGCTAAGCTTTCAAGTCCCTCTATGGTACGGGGGTTAGGGCGCTCGCTTGGATTGCGGGTGACCCTGGTTCGCATCCCCGCTCGGCGGGACAGGAGGGCCTCTGGCGGGTGAGAGGAGGCCCCTCCTAGCTGAGCAAGAGGCCCGACACAGGGCCTCTTGCTCTTTTAATTAAAGAGGCAATGCTGCGCTACAGTAAAACCCCCCTCTCACTCTTGTCCACCCTGGTCAGGATACACGCCCAGGTTGTGGCAGACCCCAGGGCACTCCCCTGCTCTTTTGAGGGGTGTGAACTGGGGGCCGCCACCTCCTGGGGAGAGTCGCTGGCGAGCGATCCCTGTCCGAATCCCCTCTCCGTCCCAAGAAGACAACGGCCTCTTGAGAAAGAGAGGGGCTTCGGACAAGGATGGCCCACCCAAAGGACGGTCGCCTAGGAGGCAGGAAATCCCTGTGCAAATCCCTGCTGAACGGGCAGCTGGGGGATTTGAACCAGGATCTCCCACAACCCAGGCGAGTATCCTAACCACTGGACTAGAGAGTGAGGGTAGCTGTGAGGCCGGCCCACAGCCCATTTAACTAAAGTGGAACAGCTTCAACAGGCAAGAGGAGAGTAAGCCCACTGCTATTCCAGAACGTTGAGTATAAAGGCACCAGGGCAGATTTGAACCTACATCTCTCACAGGCCAAGCCGATAGGCTAACCATTGGGCTATTGAAGGGGTCTGAAGAAGGTGCTCACCTAAACAGCATTTAATTAAGGTGGAACAACTTCCACAGGCAAGAGACATGAAGCACCACATAGCTCAGGGCACAGACAGGAAGATTATATTTGATATCTGTCCAAAGTCCTTCTTAACGCAGGCCAAGGGGAGATTAGAACCCCATTATACACAGCCCAAGCATGGGGCTAAACCATTGCACTAGAGCAGGAGGACTGTAGCAGCCTTTGTCCAAACATTAATTGTTTAATATGGATTAGCTGCAACAGACACTGCCCCTCATTCTACACCAGAGAACACACCCAGGCTGCTGAAGATGCCTCCTTACAGGCCTTGGCAACAGGTAGGTTTTACAGCTCCCTCCATCTTTTCAGTTGATGCTGATCCATTGTAACTACATATTAACGGGGACAAAGCTCCATAGTGGGTATAACTTGTTCTGGACTTTTCTTTGTTTGGCATGTCACCCTGGGGATGGCTCTGCTCCTTAAGCCTGTCCCTTGCTTTGCTCCTAGTGGCTCTGTTTAAAGAACAGACAAAAAGCTGTATCAGTTCCATGTTCTGGGATGGGAGATTCTCTGAAATCACAAGGGTCAATATTGTTGCTAATTTGGAAGCAAGAATAAAATCCTGTTACATAAGGTTGGTTGGGGGTGGGCGGGGTTTGGGTAAAGAGTGTAAATGGAGGTCGATAGTCATCTCTGAAGCTCCATGTATCCTGAGATCAATAGAAATATTTTCATTCAAAATCAGAGAAATGAGCTCTTTTCGTGGCAATTTTCTTTTAAAAACAAAAAACCTCCCCCTGTCCTGTCTTGCATTCACACACTGCAGGGTGTTGCTGCACAGTCGTGATCTTGACTAGAAACAGACCATGGAAAAAAGAAACTGACTTGTTCTGCCTCTCCTCCCATACAGTTAACAAACTTCCAGCAATGAGCTGGTGAGTGAGAGAATAACTTTCACAAGGCCCTGCTGTCAGTTACAATTGATGTGAGGAAACTCAGTGGGGGTTGTAGGCATCTTTTTTAAGCTCAGAGTCTCCCCTTTAATCTAATGTCCCCTGTAGCTTCTGTTCCTTGTTCCTCTCTGCATTTGTTGCTTTTGACAGCTCTGGAGAAGGGACAAGACTCTCCTTCCCCTGCCTTTGCTCTTTCTGGGGGAGGGAGGCAGGCTGAGATCTGAAGACCCCAAGCTGGTTGGAGGAGCACTGATGTGCTCAGGCTGTGGTGTCTGGATTCACTGGTGGTGTTTGTGCCTGCAAGATCCCAGATGTCTCACCTATGTTTCCCACAGGGAGCAGGGCCCTATTGGCCTTTTGGAGTATTTTTACGTCCCTCTGTATTTCGGGGCATGTGCTGCTGATTGCCCTGTCTCTGGGCCTCTCAGCTCTCTGCTATCCAAAGGAGAGGAAGCCAGCTTGTGTTTCTGATTTCCTTCCTCTGGAAGGCTCTTGCTCCAGAGGACAGAGCTGTTGACTTTCTCCCAGGAGATGCACTTGATCTATAATGGCAGGGGTATTTTAAAACCCACCTCCATTCCCACCCCCCTATAAATGTCTCCTGCAGAGCAAGGTTGTTACAGGGTTCAGGAAGGAATTTTCCCATTGGGCAGTGTTGACCAAAGAGGCAGGTTCTTAAGTGTTGTGTGGTAGCCAGGATGACAAAACTGATGAACCAACACCCTGCTCTGTTCTCGCATCTCCTTGGAGGTCTACCGAGGCCTTTGTCCATTTGCTCCGATTACCTCGATGATATGATAAATCCAGTCCAGGAATTCAGCCACCTTGGTGTAAACCCCAGGGTAGTTGGGTTCAGCACACCCTGTGCCCCAGCTCACGATGCCCACTAAGCGCCAGGTGAGTTCATCTTGGCAAACCAGCGGACCCCCGCTGTCTCCCTGCAAGACAGAGCAAGTGTCACGGTGGGGCAGTGCTTCTGTTAAGCTAGCAGGTGGGATTATGCACCATAGGGCTGCTCCTGCCCTGTGGGCCCTGTCAGCTTTGCGAGAGGCTGAAATGCAGGAAGGGGCAGAGCTGAGTTGCCTGCTGCTAGTACATCCCCTTGGCATGAAGACGGCTAAACCCCAGCTCTGTTATATCATTTTAGTTCTCATGATTTTCCTCTCTCCCTTTCCCTCAGTCAGAGGATCTCAAAGCACTTTACTGGCCATTTTCAATCTATGCATCCTGGCGACACAGCGCCAGATCTTCAAAGGCGTTTAAATAAATGAGAGTTAAGCAGCAAAATACCTTTGTGAATCTGGGCCAAAATACTGTACAGGACTTTCCACGATGCTCTCCCTCCCTCCTGTTTAGGCAGCCGTGTTGCAGCAGGAAGAGAACTGAACCATGCTGTGTGGGGCCCCTTCATCCCTGGGGGAAGATGCTGCTAGAAGGTGCTCAAGGAGCAGAAGCTGGGATTTGCAGACAGCTTGCAGAAGGGTACTGGGCCCCATGGAGGGTTCTTCCTCTGCACTGCTTCATTGATGCCCAGGGATGCAGTAACACAGCACAGGAATGAAACCCAACAGCCTGAGGCTACCTTTGTTGTATGTGGTTTTTCCTGGCCTGATAGATCCCTAACTAATGGACCAAAGATGCTGCTCTCGAAGGCCCAGGTGAACAAATGGAGTTAGATACCTAACTCCTCTCCAAATCCACGGGAGTTAGGCGCCTCAATCCATTTGTGACTCTGGGCCTAGCTCCCCCTAAGGAGCTGCTGTATAGCTTCACACCAACGATCTGCCCATTCAGTGCCTGTCTCCAGCTGGGACTAGTGGCAGTGCAGAAGACGGGGCTAAATGCCTGTAATCAACAATAATGCAGTAGCCCATCTTAAGCAACGTTTGCTTCTGACTCCAGGATGTGCGGCTGTGGCTATCTGTCCTAAAGCCAAAGGACTGTAAGTGGAGGATGGAGGGTGTGGGGTGTGAATTGATCCTGCATTGTCCTTCGCTAAGGGCAGCTGCTAAGGAGGTGGGATTTATAACTTCCAAGCAAAAGAGGAAAAGCTTGCTGCAGCTTGGTACCCTGGTGCAGGGGGCGGCTGGCAGCTGCCCTCTCTGTATAAAGGAGCATTAACCTAAACCATGGCGGTGCCTGAACGTCTATATTCTAGTGACCTGCTGTTCCCCAGGAGGAAGGGGGCCTGTGCATTAGCTCCACGCACACCCCTGCCATGCCCCACTTCCCACCTCTGACACACCCTCCCTGGTTCGATGGAGGGCCTGATCAAACCCCATCATGCCCCCACCCTGACACCCACAGCCTCTCACTAGTTCTACACAGGCCACCAGCACACCCCCAATGTGCCCCTGCACTGCCCCTAAAACCGTCCCACCTCACCCTTCACACGCCCCCGCCCTGCCATGCCTTCCTTGTGCCACACGGGGCCTGAGCATGCTCCTGCCATGCCCTCTTCAGTAAGGGGCTAGAGGGGGGACCCCTCTTCATTTAGATGAGGAGCCACGTTTCCCACCCTCTTCCCCATTTTCATGTACGTGATAGACACCATGTGGGATCCAGCCCATGGTAAGCAGCATCACACTGTTCCTCAGTGGAGGAAAGGACCCGATCCCCCACAGCCTATTAATAACAGGGGTTGTTTTCTCCCTGCTCTCACCTGGCAGGCATCTACTTTCCCGTCCAGGTAGCCAGCACACAGCATCCTGGGGGTGAGCTCACCAGAGTACATGCAGGAGCTGTTGCATTTCTTGGTGCTGATTAAGGGAACAATAGCTTCCTTCAGCATCTCAGCAATATGAACTGGATTTGAGGAAAACAAATGAGAGAGATAGTTTAACCTGCAGCCCTGGTGGCTAGATGCTGGTGTTTGCACTCAAGGCACAGTGGGACATGGAGCATTACAGACACTCTTCATCTCCAGGGCTCTGGGTGTTGGGAGGAGGAGGGGGTTGGGCTGCGGGTTGGGACTGAGGACTGCAGGAGGTTTGGAGATCAGAATTCAATACTCTCCTCTGGACTCAAACATCCCCTCGGTGAGATGCTGCCTTCGGTCATCTTCGTTTCAAAAGGGAGCTACAAGAGAGCTCTCCATGCCTCCTGGAGCTGCTCACCGTGTTCAGGTCTGGTGTAGCCCCAGCCGGAGATCCAGCAGTGGGTGCCGCGGGGGAAATCCTGACGGTACAGTGGTAAACACACTGCACGGATGGCATCTGGGGAGAGAGCCATGAGTGAGAGCACCACCAGCTTGGGATGCCCCTCACAGCACACAGCACAAACAAATCGAGAGTGGCTCCCAGGAGCAGCCAGCCTGGAGTGAGCAGGGGTGATCTAGTCCTGAGAAGTGCAAGCGAAACACCCTTGCAGCTCTGCTCCCTCTCACTCCAGGGGCCGGATTCTCCAAAGAGCTCGGCTCCCACTGTGACCTTTACAGCCAAATCCCAGCTCTTTAGAAAATCTGCCCACTTTATTCACTGTATCCTTGAGAGACAAGGTCTTGCGAGCGTTCTGTCCCATGTGCCATCACCAGAGGCCCCGGGGCTTGCCTGGGGAAAGCTTTCTCTCTGCTGCCCACAGCTCTCCACAGCTGGACCAACCCTCGTTCTGGCACTGCCCCTGGGATCGACACAGGCCACCAGCGTAGGAATCAGACCATTGGTGGGTGGCTCCCTTGTGAATGGAAGCCATGGGGCTGCCCTGTGGGGATCCCCGCCCCCTCCAAGGGGAAGATGGCTGAAGAGAAGGGTCTCACCGGAGAAGTTCAAGGGCGTTGTGAGTTTCATCAGTGCGATGTCATAGTCGTGACTCCTGTCGTCATAGCGGGGGTGGTAGATGATTTTCTCCACCGCCGCCCCAGCCTGCTGTTGGACTGACACATGAGCGATCATCCCGGCAAAGACCAGCCAGCTGGAGACCTGAGGCTGCCTGTAACTGAGCAAAGACATGGCCCACCTGTTCCTCTGGGGCTGAAGTATTGCTGGGGCGGCCAATTCCCCACTCCTTCCCTGGCTGAGGGAACAGCCGTGCTCTGCGCTAGGCTGCCCTCTGAGGCCTCCAGCTCTGACATTCCCAGACTTACTTGTGCACGCAGTGAGCGGCCGTGACGATCCAGTCACGCGCCACCACGGAGCCTCCACAGACGTGTTTGGAGTTGAGGTATAGGCTGACCTGCCACGGCCAGCGTCCCAACGGGGCGTCGCTTCCGCCCACGATCCGGGCCGCCCTGGAGCGCATGCCACACTCTGAAAAGGGGGAGAAACATTAACCTGGTGCCCCCAAACACCTCAACTGGGAGTGGGGGAGGGATGGGCAGCAAAGGGTGTCTGAGAAACTGCTGAGCGGAGCTTTGCCTTGGGGCCGAAGGGAGAGAGGTAAGGTCTTTGAACACCAAGGCTGGGGGAGAAGAGCAGGAGAACAAAGAGTCAGGAAATGGGAGACAAGAAAGGGAAAGCAAGGCAGCAGAGAGGGGAACAGCTGACAGGAGTTATTCCCCAGGCATGCTCCTGCTTCCTGGCTGTGCCCCACCGATGTCCCTGGCTTACCCCCCACAGGATGTCAGGGATTCAGGGTGGCCCCAGCTTTCTCCCTTTCTTTTGCCACCTGTGCTGTTCCCCATGTGAAATAACCCAGAGAAACCCACTCTAATCCCTTCTGTGTGCTCCGAGCTAGTTCCAGGACCTCTGCCTTCCCACCCAGTGACCTAAACCAATCTCCTCCGTGTACGAAATGTCCCCCAGCCAGCATCACTAAGCCAGAGTGGAGAGGGAGCAAGAGAGAACAGCGGGGAACGCAGGAGTCCCACCTCTCCACCTGGGCCTTCTCTGGGCTTGCCTCTTGCCCGGCAATAGCCCTGGGCCTCAGGGAGAGAGTTCAGGGCCGCAGCTTCCTTCTCTGACAGAAGGGGCTGCTGAGACGGTTAGGATTTTAGATACTGGGGGTGTTGATGGCACGTGCTGTTAATGGCACAATAGCTACGCCATATGGACAGGAGGGATTTGGGAGCTGATGGTCACGTTGCTGCAGCCGCTTCAGGCAGACCCCAGCTATGAAATCACACGGACAAAGGGGCTGCTCCAGGGGCTTCATAACCATCCTTTTTCCTTTTCTTGCTGCTCAGCCCGCTGGGAAGCTAAATCTTCCTCCCACCCAGACAAGCTGGTTTATGCTGGCTTGTTACTGCCACCCAACACTGAGGCTGCTGGATTGGTGAAAACCACTCTGTGAGGAATGACACAGGCTTTGCAAACCAACACCAGGGCACTCAGTGTCTGGCTGACCTGGGGCTTTTGCTAATTAACAGAGGGTCTATAATAGCACAAGGAATGCAAGAGACTTCAGTGCAATGTGGGGACGGGGCTAAAGCACTTACCGGAGCATTTCAGAGCCACAATTCGTCCTGAAGCACAGCTGCTCCTGCACAAGAATAAAATCAGGGTTCGAAATAAAGTTCTCCCAGAAATCTGCAGCCATGAAACACAGAGCTGGCCCATCACGGGGTGGCCCGCCTAGGAATGGCGACCAGCCAGATTCACCCAGGATGCCCAGAAAGTGGATTCTGATAGGAATAATCATCATGCCCATGGAAGGCTTTTCACCTTCACAGCACTTTGCAAACGCGAGCTGGTGCATGGCAGAAAGCTCACATGCGCAACGACAGGGGCTGTGGTGCTGCGGCAACAAAGCAGAGTTGTTCTAAGAGGGCTAGCGGGCCTGTCTAAAGGTCTGCACGTCAGCTACCCTGTTGGCACTGAGGGTATCTCTGCTCTGCAATCAGAGGTGCGATTTCAGCATGTGTAGACGTGTGACTAGCTCAGGGAGCATTAGCCATGAGGCACAGACTGTGCAAGCCTGTCTGCGACCCAGGGTCATTATTCTGGTAGCTAGTCTGTGCTGAAGTCTGCGCTGCCAAAGCTTTGCTGCTGTGGGTACTCGCCCTAGCGAGAACAAAGCGAGCTCAGATATGCCCACACCTGCTGAGTGCAGCACAGACATCCCCGCTGTGTAAGCATCAAGCTGGCTTAAGTCCTATTTCAGCGGCATGACCAAAGCACCCAACGCTGTGACCCTCCCTGCAGCTGTGGCTCCTGCCAGTGTAGTCACTGTGCTATTTGCCTTCCCATTTGGCGTCATTTAGTTGCCAGTTCAGATTTTCTCCCTCCCTCCATATTCGCTGATCTGAGTCAATGCCAGCTGTGCAGAGCCTGGCAGTCACCTCCAGAAACATGGAAACTTTTTCTCAGACAATACAGCCATGAAAGGACCTTCTGTTCAGTTCCCCCAATGCCATTCCTGCTCTCCCCAGCTCCATCACCCACCTGACCTGCCACATGTCTTCAATGCTGTTCTTCTGGTTGAGCACAATCTGAACAAACTCTTGCGTATCATTCACCTTGACATCTGTCAGGTTCACTCCTTTGTGATGGGCGAGTCTGCAGAAGCAACAGCAAATGTCATCACCTAAACACAGAGAGAGATCAGGGAGCTCACCTGTGCCTCTGACGTGACAGTGTTGTTATGGTCACTTTCTTCCTGCACAGAACCATTGTACTCTAGTTTATACATGCTAATTCTGGCCACTGCTCACACAGAGATGAAAGGGCTAAATATAATAACCATCACACACTGGGAGGACGAAACCTTTACCCTGCCATGTTTCATTGAATCACAGTGCTTAAAGAGGAGGGCTACCAAATACAGACACAAAAAAACAGGCTTCCACGCTTGCAACTTGAGTTCCAGTTTTGTCTCTCTCATTTACCAGGGGCAAGGCCCCTGTCTGAAACTGCACAGCACACAGGGACATCTAGTGGCTAAATAATAATATTGCAAATGAACATATACCCCGGCCCTTACTTTACATTCTAACCCCAAAATCAGGAAATAGGTTTGCTTGGATCACTAAAGTATATTTTCAGATGCTACCATCACTTCGCTAGCCTTGCAACGTAGACTGCATATGAGTACAACAGGAGACAGTAATAATACTGTGTCCTTCGCTAACGCCTTCCAAGTGAGGATCTCAAAACACGCTCCAAACATGAACGAGTTCATCCTCACTTGGGAAATGGGTGAATATTATGATCCTTGTTTGAAAGATGGGGGAAATGAGGCACAGAGAAAAGAGGTCACAAGGGAGTAGAGGAGGTAGAATTAAAACCCAGGAGTCCTGTTTCTCATTTATGCCAGAAAACCATCCTCCTCATCTCTATGGGGATGTTCAGCAGAAATGCACAGCCACAGAACAGCAGTGGATAGGAGAACAGTAACATTATATCTGGGAGTGACTCTATAGACAGCAATGATATAAGGGCTTACCCCAATTTCCAGGGAAGCCGATGGAAAGATAATTCCACAGTCCATGATTCTGTAAGCTTGGGAAGCTGCTATAAAAGTCTTGGGAAATAAACCCAAGCTACAGTACATCTAGCATGGGTCAAAAAATGCAGATTGTTTTTTTCCCCACAGAAAATTTTTTCATTTAAAAAAAAATATCCGGTGAAAAAATTTATAATTTGCAGTGAAAATTCCAACCCCCAAATGGTTTGATTTGAGGGGTTTCCTCCCTTTTCCAGTGGCAAAATAGAAAAAGGGTGAGAAATGGGACTAGCACAATGGGACACCATTCTCAGTTGAATCTAGGCCCCAGTGTAATGCAAATAAATATCAGTAACTCTACGGTCCCTGGCTCCCAGCCCAGTGCTCTGATCACATTACTTCCTGCAATATCTTCATAAAAATGGCAAATCAAAGACCTGTACCTGAGACTGGCCGACTGTGTCTATGCTGAGAGGAGCATCACTTACTGGAGATATCCCAGCTGCCTACAGATCAGAGTCCCCAGGGAGAGATTCCACCGCTCGTGACATGCCAGGAGCCAGCCGGGCCTGCCTTCCACCTGCACTTCCAACAAGAAGTTTCCCGTGTTTATTCTGAAAGATACTAAAACCATTTGATTAAAAACATCCTGCAAGCTTCTCTGCGACCAGCTCTTTGCAAAGGCCCAAGCCAAACACAGTAAAGTCCCAGTGACTAACGAGGGACAAAACCATCCCCAAGTCTGGCTATTGCAAACCATCCCTGGACCTTTCTGTGTGTTCCCCGGGCTCAGGGGGTGGCACTGCTGGGTACTGGCAAAGCATTCTGGGTAGTGGTATGCAGAGGGGGCTAACAAGCTTCCCCTTTGCTTCATCATCACTCCAGTGTCACAAAAACAAAGAACTTTGGGGACTTTGGGTTTAAAGGCAAAAGCTGAGCAGAGCGTGTTTGAGTGAAATAACAGCTGCAAAATTAGTTAGAGGCTGAATCCGAGATACTTGCTACTTACATAGCACTTTCCACTTAGAGATCTCCAAGCACTTTAAATAGCACCATTAACACTATCCCCATTGTAGAGGCAGGCCGAGCTTGGTGTCACAGAGTGATTGTGCTGGAGGCAAGCATAGAATCCACTGCCTGTCCTACACTCAGTCCAATGAACCACAGTCTCCTGCATTCAACCTGCAATTAGTATCTCAGGGATCAGAGTAACAGCGTGTTAGTCTGTATTCGCAAAAAGAAAAGGAGTACTTGTGGCACCTTAGAGACTAACCAATTCATTTGAGCATTAGCTTTCGTGAGCTACAGTTGCATCCGATGAAGTGAGCTGTAGCTCACGAAACCTTATGCTCAAATAAATTGGTTAGTCTCTAAGGTGCCACAAGTACTCCTTTTCTTTTTATCTCAGGGACTTGATTAAAACTCCATTGCTGTAAACTGGTGACTTTGTGACACGCCCCATCCCAAGGGCTAGTTTCAGGTGGGATTAAAACAGGGGCAGAGGTTATCTCTTGGGTGTGAGGGTTGGAAAAGGGGGACCAGTGGAGAACAGGAAGGGGGACATGTTTGGAGCACTGATGCACCCATACCGAACAACCTGTGCGGAAAGAGGGGAAACCCCCAGACGAACGGGGCCCAGACACACTGATCTGTGGCGATCTCAGGAGACGGGTGAGGAGGGCTAACGCTGAGCCCTAGACAACAGGAGGCGAGGGAAAGTCATTCACACCATCGTTGGAACCACAGCTCACAATCTGCTCAGCCCCCACTTTAGGGGGGGGTCAGAATCAGGGGGTCAGTAAGGAGGGGTCCAGCTCCCTGCTCCTCTGCTCAGAACAGAGAGAGAGTTCCAGCTCTTCTCCCTGGCTTGGGTAAGCAGCACGTTCCCCCTCCCGTCCCCCCACTCCTCCACCTCCTGCTTCGCTCCCCTTTAACCACTGGGCTCAGCTGTCAGGTTGCTAATGTGATGCCGCAGCCCCAGAGATTGTGAACATCCTCCAGGGAGCGAAGAGGGAGGCCGAGGCCTGGCTTTGCCTGGCTTTTTACTGCAAAACTCAAAGAGAAAAACAGAATGTGGGGGAACTTTCTGGCCAGTCGTGACAACGAGAAAGGGGCAGGCAAAGGCATAGAGACAGCCTCAGTCTTTGCTTTGCTTTTGACCTTGAGGAAGGGAAATCTCCTTGTCCTTAGGTCGGACAGGCTGGATTCCAGGCGGTTTCCACAGATCATTGTGAGTGAAAGGTCCCGCTGAAGGCACTAAGTGACACATCCTCTCCACAGGGATCCTGGCAGCGAGGAGAGAAGGGGTATGGGGAGTAAAGATCTCAAACCTCTCTTGGGAGCCGTGGTGACAATGGGCTCGTCTTCCCCGGCGTCTCTGCAGATTGGGATCGACTCTGTGTCCTGCAGGGGGCTGGAATCCTGGTCCGACAGGGGCGCTGTCAGGAATTTCACTTCAGGAGAAAGCGCAGAGGATTGAGATGTGATTAAACAGACTAGACAAGGCCCCAGAGCACACGTTGTGGGGAACAACCCTGCACTGGCCCCGAGGGGGTTAGATATATCCTTAGGGCTTGATCCAAAGCCTGCTGAAGTCAACAGAGAGATTCCAGTTGATTTCAGCTATTCTGAGGCTGATCTATTATTTGCACTACAGTAGCACATGGAGGCCCAACTAAGCTCGGACCCCCACTGTGCAAGGTGCTGTACAAACGCACAGTGAGAGACGGTCCCTGCCCCGAAGAGCTTACATTGAAGCAGACAAGACAGGTGCAGGGTGGGAGGGACAACAGGCTCAGCGAGGGGGAGGAACTTGCCCAGGGTCACGCAGTTGGTCATGGCAGACCAGGACTAGAACCCATTCCAGTGCCTGCAGCACCACGCAGCCCCCTGTACTCTCGCTTCCTGGGCTTTGCAGCTGGGCTTTCCCATGCCTAGTGTCTGTGGTCCTGGGACCCTGGTGACAATTTGCTCATCACTTGCATGACCCCAAAGCCCTGCTCTCCATTTTGGCCACTGGTCTAAGGGCGGTTTTGAGAGAGGTGAGGAATTCCCCAGGAGATACAGACCTAGAAGCCACATCCCAATGGCTGCCCCTGCCAGCAGCCCGATGGCCCCAAGCAGCAGGAGGCATCTCTTGATGGGGCAGAGGTTTTCCAGGGACGTGTTGGAAGAATCTTTAAAAAACAGAGAGAGGGGGAGGGAGGATGGATACTGAACAAGTTCTGGGTCTCATTGTCTTCTCATCTGTGGCACAATCTGGGGCCCTATCTAGCCCCTTGTAAACTCCCTAGCTCACCACAAACTCTCCTCTCTTCCTATGAGGATAAGCCCAGTGGTCCACCATGCGCCAAGGTTGGTGCCCAGGATGGGGCAGCGGGTCTCAGTCCCTAACAAGACTCCCCAGGGTGAAAACACAAGAACTAAGAAGGGATCCTTCCCCTGTACATCTTCCATCTGGCCAGAAAACACAGTCAAAGGCACAGAAGCAGCAGGGTCCTTTCAATTAAAGAAGCCAGGCTAGTGGGACCAGGCAACCTACCTACTTACTAATAGCTGGCTGCGTCTCCGGAGAGGCAACATCTGCAGCATCTATAGCTCACAAGGGAGGCTCTGAGTCATTTACATGAGCACAAGAGGCGGGGACACGGTGCTGCACTGTGCAAACATTTGTGAAAAGCATGTGATCTTCAGATCGGCACACTGGAGAGCCTGTCCCACTTGGCTGCATTTAGCAATGCAGAGTAGACTGGCTGGTTGGACACCTCCGACAAGGGGCAATTCCCAGTGACCTTCTCCAGGAGATGTGGGGAGGCGGCAGGCGACGGTAACAACCCGCACGGCTACCGCAGCACCCTCCATGCAGGGCTCTCTAGGTCCTGGACACTCGGGGTTGCTGAAGTGAGGGAGGAATGGACTGATTTTTCAGGCTCAGGAGGGTATTTTCCTTTCCAAAGGTAGAGGTGAGGGTTAGGGCCTGTCGACACTGAGAGTGCAGCCCCGGGAACAGCAAAGAAAGCAGCCTCAGCTTCCGCCAGTTCTGGGGTGAGCACGGACAGCTGCCCGAGATTCCCGTCAGTGTGGGATTCCCACGTGAGGCCCCTCAGTCTCTGACTGCTTATCTCCTAGGCGAGGGTCAATGCAGCCACCTTGATGTAAGCAGGCGTTGTGGGGATGCCAGTCCTGGCCCGCTCTGCATCCTATGTGTTCTGTGGGTGCCAGGCGTAGCAGAGAAACCCCTTATGCCGCATGCTGCCCCAAATGCCCCATCCCCGTGAATAGCTCACCACGTCCTGCTGAGGTCTGAGTCCTTCCCATGTCTCTTGGCTCTGTTGTCTTGGCCCCCTGGCTTTGGCCAGCATCCCGAGGGCTATGAAGGTCAATGGGGAACTGGGCAACTGGCCCAAGACTCTAGAGGGAAAGAAACAAAGATCTATACAAATCTGGGGCCACAGGGAAGTAATCAGGGGAATGGCCCAAAATGCACTGGTGGAGGTGGTTCATGGCCCAGTCACTCGTGCTGGGCCCAGATCCGAAAATCCACTTGGATAGATAGGTGAATAGCCAATGCACCCTATTCCCCTGCCGAACCAACTGCAAAGTCCCTATCCTGCAGGCCCCAGTGTCCAAGTGTCCTGCCGTCTCCAAGTGGTCAATGAAAACCTCACAATACCCCTTAGAGAGGGATCTCCACCAATGTGGTTCTAAACTGAGAAGATGGAACCCCTGGCTCAAGAGCCGGGATCCGGTCCCAGCTCAGCCCAGAGGGGAGGCATAAAGCCAGAGCAGTTTGGGAACAGGCATTCCCTTTGTTCTCAGTGGAAGCCTGAGATATGGGGGGTGGGATCCCAAGTCCTAGGGGGAAGGATGGGAGAACAGATCACTCCCCTGGCAGCCCTGTGTGGGCTGGGTACAGCCGGTCAATACACAGGGGGAACTCTCTGGCGGGAAATTCAAAAGCAACAAAACATTTTCATTTCGTTTCAAAAATGTTCACCGAACTTTTTCCAGTTTCTTTTTTTTTTTTTTAAATGAAACGACATTAACCCCCTGGAGAGGAAAATGGGGGAAACAAAACAACTGCCCTACCCCCAACACTGAAAATATCCTAGGTTTTCTTCAAAAAACGATTTTGACCAAAACAAAGAGTCTCCATGAAAATGCTCATTTTGCTCAAAAAATGTTGTCATGAAATGTTTTCCACCGGCTGCCGTGCTGGACAGCCTGAGGCTGTCCTCTACCAGCTGTGCTATGGGGCACGCCAAAGCACTGTAAGACGACCTAAGAAAGAAAACAAGCTACTTTATCCAGCAATCTGAGTGGGGCACTTCCTGCGTGTGCGCTCACATACACATACACACACACACATCTGATGCCTGCTGAAGAGCCCAACGTTCAGTTTCTTAGCTTTCCATTTGCTTCTTCAGTCACAGGCTCTTCACTAGTTTCCAACCCACAATTCCTCCCTCCCATTCGCTGGAACGGTGGGATGCGAATGTCAGAGCGCATTAGATCCTCTAGCGCAGAGGTTCTCAACCAGGTGTCCAAGGAAGCCTGGGGGGGCCACAAGCAGGTTTCAGGGGGTCTGCCAAAATAAACCAGAGCTGGCGTTAGAGGCGCTGGGGCCCCGGGAAGAAAGCCCAACCCCCATCGCAAGGGACTGAAGTCTGAACCCTGCTGCATGGGCCTAAAGCCAAAGCAAGTTAGCTTTGCAGGGCTCCCTGTGGCATGGGGCCCCGGGCAATTGCCCTGCTTGCGACCCCCTAATGCCGGCCCTGGCTTTTAATGTACTGGATATGGAGAAAACCAGTTGTTGTGGCACAGGTGGGCCATGGAGTTTTTATAGCCTGGTGTTTTTTTGGGGGGTGGGGGGAGGCTCAGGAAGAAAAAGTGCATTAAAGGAACCCACAGAGCTCACCACTTCCATACCATGCAGGCCCTCTTAGCTCCAGGCTGTGCACCACCAGACAGTGCATGGTCGTACAGGAGGTAAAAGCTCCTTACCATGACAGCGGCACTCAGGGGTGAGAGCGTGCGGCTAATTCACCATCACTGCTCCACGGGGCCAGCGGCTGCTCTCTGGGCACCCGGGCCTCCCGTTAAACACGCACGCATGGGCTAGACAAAGCCAGCAGCTATGGTGTCACAGTGAATAGAGCTGTTGTTTTCCCAGAGAAGTCAGGAGGCTGCCAGACTGGTTTGCCCACCTCCCTACAGTCTGCTAATTGGTGCCTGTAATAGATAAGGGGGCAGTCGCTTAGCAACATCCCACCCTCCTCCCCATGCCCAAAAAGCATGCCACTCTCGGGGCGCCCCACAGGGAAACTCTGTCACTCTGCTGGATTGAGGGTTGAAAGCGACAGAGCAATATTAGCCTTCGTTGAAATGTTTCAGATCTCAGCCCTCTGGTTCATTTTGATTCTGTTTGGACAAGACTTACCTGCAGTGCAGCCATACTATTCCAGGTGATAAATAGAGAGAGCAAGAGGTGATAAATAGAGAGAGCAAGATCAGCTGCAGCCTATCCTAGCCCCGTAGGGTTCAGTTCATCCATCATTTAGGAAGATGGGATCCTCTTTCCTGAGTCCTGCGGCACCAGCGCCAAGGGCACGTGGTGGTATTAACTCTGGATCAACAACTCCCAGCAATTTCTGCTCCGGTCAGGTCGCTGGCAGAAACTCCAGGAGTTCTGTCACGGTTAACACGGCGCATCGGGAGCCGTGTCTTGGGCAGGTTTCACAGCAGCCGCAGAGCGTGATATTGTGTGGCCCTGGTGCATAGCTGTCCTGGGGGCCAGCTGTCACATGCTACAAGGCCATTTCCATTGTCTCTTTCTTCCCTCAAAGTCAGCCAGCCCCTCCTGGGCCTTGCAGCCCGAAGGGGTCTGATCTAATGGTTTGACAAGGGGTTTCCTTGAACCTGCCTTGCTCAGGGGGTGGGAAAGAATGAGGCCATTTGCTATGGAAATGGTTGTGATTACCAGCAGGATCCTTTGCGCTGATCCTAGGGTTTTCTCTCCCTTTGCACCATCTTCCTTCCTACCATCATTGTCTCTGTGTCCACAGACAGGGCTGGGGTACTGTGGTAAGATCCTTGGGACCCCCATTCTCCCAATACACTTTCACAGGGTCTGTGACAGAGATAGCACACTGGCTGCCTGTGTCATCCCTGTGTGTCACGGCCAAGAGGGCATGGAGAGGCTCATGGCAAGTCACTCCTGTCCCTGAAGCTGCCTGGTTGCAAGTCAGACTGGACTGAATTTACAGCACGTAGAATGGTGCATTTTACCCACCTTGGGCTACAGCACAAAAGGAAGAGTCCGTTGGGATAATTAAGCCAGAGCAGACGAAAAGGCATGTACTGTCAGGCCACTAGTGCAGATCTCATGTGCAGTGGGGCCGGTGGTTACTCTCTTCACCTGAGCAATGTATTAATTCTTACATCCCTGGAGCAGTATAGTGCAGAGAAAATGGCAAAGGTATGTTTCATTGATGCAGGTCAGGACTGAGCTGAACTGGCAGAGCTGGGTGCTGCAGGATTGAATTGTATTATTGGACTGCAGTGCCTGAGAAACCTCAGCTGACTGATGGGTGTCGACAGAGCTGTGGGTGGGAACCCCAGGGCTGGAAGAGCTGTGGGGGCTGCGGATCAGAAAACCAGCAAGGCGCTGCAGTTTGACGGCAAATTGCTCCTGAGCCCCTCCACGTCTCAGCAAACCAAGCCCTTGCGAGCCGGGGGGCTTTGACATTTAAAGGTAACTTTCACAGGCATTATGTGTATTATTTGCTGACCAGGTGACAGTTACTCAGCACTCATCACTCAGCCCTAAAGCCCGCCTTCACATTGCACCTGTGCATTTGTCTGTAACACTGCAGGCTTAAAACAAACAGAGAGCCAGGTAATTCTCCAGGAACGTGTGCCCAACCCTCAGCTCCCTGCATGTCCCCCTGGCCTTTTGGATGCAGAGTGCAAAGAATAAACTATCATAAAGGTCAGAATGGCAGGTGCCACCATTTCGTTTCTGTTTTGATTTCCCACGTTAATTTCATGCTGGTGAAAGGTGACTGGTTGATATCCCAAGAGAATGAAAGTCTTTTATCCACAGCATGCTCCCCTACCCCCTCTGCCCCACAGCATGGCTCACTCACCAAAATGACATTGTAACATTTGTAAATTGCTAGACATCATCTTGGTCAATATTAGGGACAGATCGCAGGACCTCTAGCACCAAGAACATGCTCCAGAGTGTGCTAAAGAACCAAGTCCCCAAGCTCGCACCTGCAGCAGACTCCTGCCCATTGTGGATAGGGCAGAGGGGAACCCATGACACACCCACAATAGTGAGTTACACAAACATTGCGGGGGTGTCAGTGTCACATCCTTGCTGCGTCCATATTGCCCAGCCTGGGAGCAAATTACTGGGGAGTTTCCTCTCCATTTCCACATGCATCTAAACCTATGAGCCCTTGATTTCAATGGCTCTCTCTGGATTCACCCCATGCAGCCTCACTGATCTTCCTGCACATCCATGCCGTCTCTGCCTCACCTCTCGCATCTCCTGTTTCCCCTCACCCTATCTGCTCCTTCCACTTCTCTCCTCCATCCCTCACAACCAGAGTTTCTCCTTCACTTTGCTGCCGGATGTTTTCCCTTGTAGCATCACTGAGTCCTTTCCCTTCAAATTGTCCTTTCCCTTCTGCTTGATGGCCAGCCCCATCTCCAGGCAGACACTTGGCTGCCTCAGGCTCTGTGCTGGGTTAACAACAGTACAGGTGTCTCATTTTTTCTTATTCCCATTCCTAGACAGCAGATGGTGCTGAAGGACTAGGGAGACGTGAGTGGGGCTCTTGGATGTACAGGACTGCAGCTGGTGGGTGCTGAGTCAGCCGCTTCTTTGCTTGATGCGCCATCTCTTTTTCCAATCTACTCGGAAAACGATGGGGGAATCACCGTCCTGTTTTCTGAGGCTGTCCCAAACAGAACAGTCCCCAGTGGTCTGTGGGTAGAAAATTGAGGCGAGAATTAATTCAGCCATATAGCCCCAAATTCCTATGGCTATGGGGTTAGGGAAATGCCTGGATTTGCTGAGGGTCAAAGTTTTGTGACTGCGGCCAATAAACACATTGCTCCATTTTGGTGCAAAAAACAAACACTTTTATAGAAATGTGGCTGACCAGAATATAAGAATGAGGAGAGATGGAATAATTTACTGGTTGTATGAGATTAACAGCTGAGCTGTTTGAAGAAAGATGAACTAAATGGGGTGAACTGTAAAAAAACTACAAAAACAAATCATTGCTCTAATTTTATAAAGATGGGATGAATACTGACTGAAAGTCATAACGAGGCTTGCAAGGATTAGATTTTTGTCAGTAAACGTCGATTTCACTGTTCATACACAACCCGATGAAATAATAACAGTAATCAGAATTCAATAATAATCAGAATTTACAGTTAGGCAAAGTAAGAAAAATGCTGATTAAGAACTTATTACGGTTTGAGTTAAGGATAGTTGCTTTGCACATTTTGACATGGGATGTTGACAATTTGTGTTTTAACAGCTACAAAGCTTTAACTTTCTGAATCTCAGCA